TGTACGCGGAGCACGTGAGATTTCACCCGTGTCATCCCTTATATAGAGCGTCTACCGACGCTCTGATATAGCCACTTCCGCAAAATCCAACATAATATTGATGAGGAGCAGTCACTGCTGTACACACGCGTGCTATCGACTGGTCCTAGATCTGTTCCAGTCTGGAATGGAAAATAGCGCCAATCCTAGTCACTAGGCCTGTTGCCAGAGTAGCAACACCCGAGATCCCAGCACCAGTAGGGAATAGGAGGCGGGTCACGGATGGCCACACCCTCAACTCTGCTCAACATGAGACCTGACTGGACAGAGGAACAGAGAAAGTTGTGGGCAGATTTTGTTGGACCTGGTGTGCGTGTGTGTGTGAGAGAGAGAGCTCTCATTCCCAGCAGCAGACACCTCACACCTCCCCCAACATACTAGTCTCAAAACATACCAAACATTTCACACTCAAAACATACCAAACCGTATTCAGATAGGTAACATTTCACCCACAACAAACTACAAACAGTCTCAGCTGACATTACACACAGGAATCAGTGGGGACACAAACACAAAACATTCCGCACAACATTCACTCATCAACTGAAGTCACGCACCAAAGAGGATGGAGATGAAGAAGAGATGGAGGGGCGGCACCCGAGAAGGGGGGATGATGAGAGGTTGAGGAGCCAGTTTGGGGACATGGGGAACAGTCTCAGAGATAGGAGGACCAGTAACAGCTCAGCTCCCTTACTGGAGTGGAGCTGGTCATGACAGAGAGAAGGGTGCCAGTGTGTGTGGGAAGGTGAGTAGGAAATAAGGAAGGGAAAGAGAGAGCTAATGTTAATTTGCAATGGACCATTTTTTGGGTTGGTCTCTCATATAAGACTAAGTTTTGAGTCACGAAATCGACCTGGCCTGAACTGTCGTTCTCCAGTGAGCTGGTCAGCATTTTCATGTCTAGCTCGTAACACAGTTAAACCTGTTTCCTGTTTTTATGGCATACTATGCATGGGACCAACAACAAATTTCGTGACTTAAAACTTTGTCTAGATGACGTAAACAAGGGTTTGACACTGAAACATTAGAGCTCTATGGTGAATTGTGAAATGTCTCAGTTTAGAAAATTCAGGCGGGAATGGGGATTCCTTCAAGTTTGGCAGATGGAGCTATACGTAAAACACATGTATTGTTGCACAGACTTAGTTGCATGGGACTTTTGTCTCTGCAAACATGACATTTCCTGAAATGTCCCCAGTGTCAGATCCACAATCTCTCGTGTGGAAATGTTCTGGTAATACTCTATTACCAACCCTGTCTTGGAGTGGAGCGAGACGGTGCCCCAGGTACCTGGTGACCAGCCTGCGACCAAAGACCAGGGAGAGGAGGTAGCAGAGAGATGCTCCACAGGCAGACAGGAGGCACACCAGAGGCAGGGCCACCCACACCCCAAACACTGCTCCCCCTAGAATGTTCTGGAACAACAGGACCATGACACACAGTCACTACCTCCCCCTGTGTTCCACAATAGTCTCAACTACTTTCCCTCTCTTCCTGACCGTTTCCGAGTCACTCGGTAACTTTTCAAAAAGTAAATGCTCATCGACCACCACTGTCTCAATTTCTATCCCTCCCTGCCCCTCATGTATGCACGAACAGCTAGCTTCTAGGAGTGGCCAACAAGCAGGCACTAACTAGGAAGACGGAGCCAGGGATGGCAAAGGCCTGTTTGTAGAGGTAGGCGGCAGAGAAGACGCAGAGAACTCTGCCATAGTTCTCCTCCCTCAGTCTTTCCAGCTGGGAGGCCAGGGATCGCAGCTGGTCCATGTCAGAGGGAAATGACAGGGAAGGCCTGGGGATTAGGATGAACCATGTTACTCCTTCATTCGTTGCTTGATATCACGAAATAGTTCTCCCTACTTCAAGCTATTATAGTTGAGTGAATGAATAGATCAGTGTTTAGGGAGGTTCAGATGTTTAAAGTTCTCACCCATTTCTCAGTAGAGAGGCGGCCAGGGCATACAGAGACACAGTGGCAGCTGCAAAAGTCGCTTGGAGTCAAAAGGAAGTTTTGCTCTGCACATTGTTATTTTGCAGAAATGTGACGTATGTGTAGTGTAAAAACACATCTGTCAACATTTTCAATAAACCCCACATGACATGAGGAATGCCATAGTTCTCTGTATAACACAACACATTACATCTCAGAGCAACTGTTTTCCCTCATATAGCCACTTTCTCAAACCAACATTGAAATGATGAGGATGCAGTTCAATGCTGTACACACCGTGCTATCTACTGGTCCTAGTCTGTTCCAGTCTGGAATGAAAATAGCGCATTCCTAGGCCTGTTGCCAGTAGCAACACAGCCCCCAACAGCAGTAGGGATATGGAGGCGGGGTCAAGGATGGCCACACCCCTCAACTCTGCCAACATTAGACCTGACTGGACACAGAGAAAGTTGTAGGGCAGAAGACCTGTGTGTGTGTGTGTGTGTGAGAGAGCTCATTCCCAGCAGCAGATACCTCACACATCCCCCAACATACTGAACATACCAAACAATATTCAGACAGGTAATGCTGACACAGTATCAGTGGGGCACAAACAACATTCCGAACTAAGAACACGAACAATATTCACAGCTCGACTGAAGTCACGCACCAAAGAGGACGGAGATGAAGAAGAGATGAAGGGGCACCCCGGAAGTGGGGATGAGAGGTGGTGAGCGAGCCAGTTTGGGGACATGGGGAACAGTCTCAGAGATAGGAGGACCAGCAAACAGCTCAGTCCCTTACTGGAGTGGAGCTGGTCACGACAGAGAGAAGGGTGCCAGTGTGTGTGGGAAGGTGAGTAGGAAATAAGGAAGGGAAAAGAGAGAGTCTAATGTTAATTTTGCATGGACCATTTTTTGGGTTGGTTCTTCATATAAGACTAAGTTTTGAGTCACGAAATCTGACCTGGCCTGAACTGTTCGTTCTCCAGTGAGCTGGTCAGCATTTTCATTGTTCTTAGCTCATAACACATGTTCATAACCTGTTTCCTGTTTTTTATGGCATACTATGCATTGGGTAACCAACAACAAATTTCGTGACTTAAAACTTTGTCTTATATGACGTAACAAGGGTTTTTGACACTGAAACATTTAGAACTCTATGGTGAATTGTGAAATGTCTCAGTTTAGAAAATTCATGCTAGCGAATGAGGAATTCCTTAAGTCTGCAGATGGATTCTATACGTAAACACGTGTCGTTGCACAGACTTAGTTGCATGGGACTTTGTCTCTTGCAAACATCAATTTCCTTGAAGTCCCCATAGATTCATGATCCACATATCTAGTCTCAGTTTATGTGGAAGAGTCTCGTATATCTATACAAACCCGTCTGGAGTGGAGCGAGACTGCCCCAGTGTCCCAATGGTAGTTTGACCGCCTGGGTGACACGAGCCGACAGCCCACAAGACCAGGGAGAGGAGGTAGCAGAGAGATGCTCCACAGGCAGACAGGAGGCACACCAGAGGCAGGGCCACCCACACCCCAAACACTGCTCCCCCTAGAATGTTCTGGAACAACAGGACCATGACACACAGTCACTACCTCCTCCCCATGTGTTCCACAATAGTCTCAACTAAACCCTCACTTTCCCACTCTTCTTGACCATTTCTGAATCACTCGGTAACTTTTCAAAAAGTAAATGCTCATCGACCACCACTGTCTCAATTTCTATCCCTCCCTGCCCCTCACGTATGCATGAACAGCTAGCTTCTAGGTGCCGCCAACAAGCAGGCACTAACTAGGAAGACGGAGCCAGGGATGGCAAAGGTCTGTTTGTAGAGGTAGGCGGCACAGAAGACGCAGAGAACTCTGCCATAGTGCTCCTCCCTCAGCCTTTCCAGCTGGGAGACCAGGGATCGGAGCTGGTCCATGTCAGAGGGAAATGACAGGGAAGGCCTGGGGATTAGGATGAACCATGTTATATACTCCTTCATCGTGCTTGATATATCAGAAAATAGTTCTCCCTACTTCAAGCTATTATAGTTGAGTGAATGAATAGATCAGTGTTTAGGGAGGTTCAGATGTTAAAGTTCTCACCCATTTCTCAGCAGAGAGGCGGCCAGGGCATACAGAGACACAGTGGCAGCTGCAAAAGTCGCCAACACACCCACCAGTTCTCTAGACATCCTCTTAGGCGGCGTACATACCCCTAGTGCGCCTGCGCGAAAAAATAAGCGCTCACTCGTGGAATATGGCAGCGAGCAAGGCGGGAGAGAAAGACGTGACGTTCGTCACAGGCAACCCCAAGAAGTGGAAGAGGTATCTTTACATAACCCATCTGTATAGCAAGACTTAGAGCCTGCATGATGCCGTTTCTCTCACTGTATTAGCTGAACATGATCACCAGCCACACCCCCAACACCTCGATCAGCAGCTCACAAAATTTTTAGCCCCAACAACTTTCAGGCCTACAACAGCTCGATAGAACTGCTCAATATTTTAGCCTCGAACTGCTCAATTTTAACCTCTGCATATTTTTAAGCCTCTCCCGCTCTCCTGTGTTACAGGTGAGAGCCATCCTGGGCGAGAGTCTTGGTTGGACTCTGACCTCCAGAGATGTGGATCTCCCTGAGCTACAGGGAGAGCCGGAGGACATCGCCAGAGACAAGTGTCTTCTTGCCTCTGAGAGAGTGAGTGTGCCAGAGACAATGAAACTGTGACTTAGTGGGCAGCTGTGCGTTATTTCATGGGGACCCTTACTTACTGTAACTAAAACTTTCTGAATAATGTGAACATACTTTTCAAGAAATTATACAGCACCAGAGATAAGTTTTGCAAATGAGCGTCAAACTTCATTTTCTCTACCAACCTTTTTCGAACAGTAAAAACTTTTCCTGCCTCAGGTGGAAGGTGCAGTGATGACAGAGGACACTGTCTCTGTTACAATGCTCGGAGGTTGCTGGACCGACATGTGAGCCATCACACTCACTCTGATCTATTATAGCTATTGGATGCATGTTGATTGGTGAATGTGAGCAATGGTTGCTGAAAAAGACTGGTCACGAAGGTAAGCCAATACAGTGAACCTTGCAGATTGCCAGACATCTGCTTCTGTCTAGGGCTCAACATCTGCTGGTGCCTATTCTGACAAGACGGCATTTGCTCAGTGCACCTTTGCCTTCTGTGAGGGTAAAGGTCAACCTGTCAAACTGTTCAAGGGAGTAACAAATGTGAGAGGTGGTTGGGACCACACATTGCCTCGTGATAATATTCATGATGCAGGAAGTTAATTTAGCATTGAAGAATGCAATGATCCATTCCCAGTCTAACCTAATAATGCTCCATGGATACTGCTCTTTATCCATTTGCTTGTCAAGTAGGCATGTAGATACTCTCTCGTGTGTGTCCATTGTGATGGTAATGTATACCTCTGCAGGGTACAATAGTGCCGGCCCAAGGACCCCCGGATTTTGGCTGGGACCCAATATTCCAGCCAGAGGGGTTCCAGTTGACGTATGCAGAGATGGAGTCAGGGGTCAAGAACACCATCTCCCATCGCTACAAGGCCTTGTGTGCCCTCAGAGACTATCTCACTAGCAGGGGAGAAGAGGGGGAGGGAGGAGTGGGGGAGGAGGGAGACACTCATGCAAAGAGAGCCAAACTTGATTGATTTATTGGCGAGTGGGAGCGAGCCAACCTAGTCGTTGCAATGGCCGAATCCTCTATATCTAGCGAGCGTCCCTCTCAAAAAGGAGAGGGGGATGACTCTAATTATACGCGAGACTAGCCCTCTCTGTTTCCGTGAGAGGTGTGGCTACGCGAAACTAGAGCGAGCGGTGTCATGCAGTTGGGGCGCTAGCTGTCACTACCGTAATGCTTTATTACCCCACTGTGTGTTAGTACCAAACATACAACACACAATGACATGACCTACCTTCCTAACCCTCGTTGCGCATGCGCGCAAGCGTAGTCTCGTCCCCAGACCCCACCCACAAAATGGGAAAGGGTCCGGTGACATTGCTCTTGGTTAAGTTGTCAGTAGCGTTCATGCGACATTACAACTAGAGTCATGTGATATGCGCATGAACCGTGCCAAGATCAGCGAGCTAGCTCTGCTAATGGAAGCAGACGTGTCATCCCTCGGTTCCTCGGAACTCATGCACCGCTAACGCAGTGATAGCTACTCTCCATTAGTGGAGGTTACAAAGAAGAAGAAGTGATATAGCTAGAGACCTCTTTGTTGCCAGGGAAGAGGCAGAACATACGTACGTAGACGAGCCAGCCGAGTGTTGCGGACTATAGGCATGCGCACTGGCTGTCATGTGACTGCTGAATCGGCAAATTGCTCAAATGTCACCAGACACTCCCGTTTTGTGGGGTCTGGACTCTGGGGACGAGACTATGTTTTGTTAGGATGACAGACCCGCTCACCACACAGCTACCGTCCGCAGGGACCGTGCCTCCCTCAGACTCTGTCGAAGACGTATCTACATCCAAACGACCCAAGTTAGACTCTGTCGGAGACGGAACAGGTGGGCCGAGCAGTCCGAGCAGGGGAAGCGGGTGCACATTCCCGGGGAGGGGACGCTTGCTTTCTCTGACGGTCGGTTACGTCCCAAGACTTTGTACGTCTCCTTTCCCTGAGATCTATGTCAGTTCTCCCCTGTTTCAGTATAGACTTTAGAGCCGCAAGCGAAGAGAGCGCGTGTCACCAGTTTGTTTAGATATGTGCTACAGAAAGCTAGCAACAGCGGGCTCACGAGACTTGCTATCCAACACCTTTCTTTATCCTCAAACATCAAAACTTCCACCTTTTCTTCATCTGCACCCTCTTCCGACTAACCCCTCCCCTCTCTTACCCACACTCCCCTTTTTTGTCCTCGTTTCTACCCAGATTTCTTCCTTGAAAATCTTCCAGTTGATCTACATGTTGCAGTGCCCAGACAGGACAGCATGAGCCCTCCAGTCACTAGTATCGACCTGCTGGGAATAGATGGGCCCGCAACCACTGATCTCCCCAGTATGGCTGGTGTCTCCCAGCCTCAACAGCTACCTGCTGGGCTCAACTCCACCCCACCACCGCCCAGCACCTCTCAGCCTCGCTCGTTGGCTCCTAGTGTCAGTCTGCTGGCCCAGCCGTTGTCGCAACAGCAGTCTCCCGCGACTAGCGTCAGCCCCGTCGCCAAACCTACACCTCCTCTGCAGTTGAACACTCTTGGAGGGGGTAGGGGAGGTGGGGGACTGACTACCTCAACTGCTGGTGCCCCGCTCAACACCACTGTAGTGAGCACCTCCGCTGACCCCACTACAGCTCTCCCAAATATCAGCTCCACCTCTGCAACTGCCGTTCCTTACTCCAACATGGCAACTTCTGTTTCTCCTGCAATGGGCACCCCTCGAATGCCGTCCGCTTCCTCCACACCTTTCTCTTACAATTCATACTCTGGAGGTATGACCTCCGTTGCTGCTGGAATGAACTTGCGGGTGGGGATGCAGCCTCGGGCCCTGGTAATGGGAAGTTACCTGCGCCACCCCGGGCCCAGTCAGGGAATGGGTGGAGCTGTTATGCCCGGACAGCAGATGGTACACTCGCCCAACATGATGACACAACAACATCGGATGATGACGAGGCAGCGTAAAAAGATGCACCCCGAGGTTCATGGAGGCTCCATGATGAGTACCCACCCCCAGCGGTCTATGGGGCAGAACGTCGTCCTCCCTCCTCACTCGCACCAAGTCTCGTCACAGATGATGGCTCCTCATATTTTGACTCAGCAACAACAGATGCCGGTGTCCAATCCTACTCCTCGGCAGAGTCACCCCGCCCAACAGCCCTGCCCACCCTCCAAGGGCGTTGTCGGGGAAGAAAGCCCTTTGCCCGGACAGCAGATGGTACACTCGCCCAACATGATGACGCAACAACATCGGATGATGACGAGGCAGCGTAAAAAGATGCACCCCGAGGTTCATGGAGGCCCCATGATGAGTACCCACCCCCAGCAGTCTATGGGGCAGAACGCCGTCCTCCCTCCTCACTCGCACCAAGTCTCGTCACAGATGATGGCTCCTCACATGATGACTCGGCAACAACAGATGCCGGTGTCCAATCCTACTCCTCGGCAGAGTCACCCCTCCCAACAGCCCTGCCCACCCTCCAAAGGTGTCGCCGGGGAAGGAAGCCCTTTGCCCGGGCAACTAGGAGGTCCTCAATTCCATATTGCCATGCCCCCTCAATCGCAAGCCACACCTACTTCACAACAGTCCACACCTTCTCAGCAGCCTGTTCCTGGGGTGACCCCTCTATCATCGGTGAGCATATTAAATCCCACACTCATGTGCAGCACATATGAAGCTACAAACACACAGTTTTCCCTGCCTGGCTCTGCATGCTTTTCCTCTGACATATCTTTCGCACATGTCTATTTTTCTTTTCTCTCTTCCTCGACAGCAGCAAACTCCAGCCACGGCAAGACCTGCCACACCCCAAACGCAGATACAACAACATTTGAATGCCCTGCCCACTTCTGCTGCTCTACAGTGGAGAAGTCCCGTTGCCATGGGAACAGCACAACCAGTGCGACAACCAAGTCCCTCACTGGCAGCCCCGCCTCAATCGGTCACCATCCCCCAACAGCAAACTTTGCCCATCCAACTGTCTGTCCCAGTCCAACTGCCCACTCAGAGCATTAAGCAAGTCATGCCCCCTCACCCCCTCCCTCCACTCCCTCCACAGTCAAGTGCAGGTCAACAGCCAATGCTTTCCTCTCTCAGTGGGAAAGGGGGAATGCCTGGTCAACAACCAACACAACAACAGCAGATCGGCTCCTCCCCTCACGGACCAGGGGGAGGAGTCAACACCTTTGGAGCTCCACCCACCTCAGGAGGACTGGGCGGGGCAAACCAGCCGGCGACGATGGACCCGGAGAAGCGGAAGCTGATTCAGCAGCAGCTGGTTCTCCTGCTGCATGCCCGCTATTGTCAGCAGAAAGAGAGGGAGCACTCGATGGGGGGAGGTGAGTACCAGCCGTGCTCCGTGCTACACTGCCAGACCATGAAGAATGTGTTGGATCACATGACTCAGTGCCAGGCAGGCCGACAGTGTACATGTGAGTTCACTACATTTACCCTCAAACACAAATGGTGTTTTGCATATAAACTAAACAAAGGTTTTACAGATTTGTGTTAAACGTACACTGCGGATAAAAATACGTGTGGAAGCATTATCAGTCCACACATTGTCTTCTATACACAGATGATCACTGTGTGTCATCGAGACAGATCATCTCTCATTGGAAGAGCTGCAGAAAGGCCGACTGCCCCATCTGTCTGCCCCTCAGGAACACCGTATTACCACGTAAGTGAGAAGGTACTGTGCATGTTAAAACTATGAGGTAGAAAGGCAAAGGCACAACAAACAAATCAACGCTCTTTGAAAATAAAGAGCTGCCCTAGGTGGGACACTCTGCAGTCTAGGCGAGCGCTCTACCAACTGAGCTACCAGGGCAACTCAGCTGGTAGGGGTTCGAATCTACAACACAACACAAGGCAAACCTCCAACCACTGTGCTATGGCACAGTAAACTCTCACTTAGCATGTAATGGTCGGTGACATACAGTTCAACTGAAAAGAGGTTTTGTGATTTGACTTAACTTTCTTGTCTATTTAGTCAAGCATGCAAAGAAACACTGAGTTTCCAAAAAGTTGTAGGAACAGCTCTAATTAATGCCCATCGAACTGTGTAAACTCACAAAAATGCACACAATTTTTGTGTCCATCATAATTGGCAAATGGAAGCGAGCTAACCTAGTGGTCCGAACGGCGCGATTCTCTCGACGCCATATATTCAAGATCAGGCACGACATGCAACTCGAACCTCGCAAGCAAGCAACACAGGCACGCCTTTGGCAGTGGAGGACTGCTATGCAACAGGCACGAGCAGTAGAGACGCCAGAACAGACAGTTTCAGCTATTTCATGTTGTAGTTTGATAGGTTCTTGAATGTGCAGCTAAACTCGCGTTTCAGATGCAGTTGTAGGCTCACTGCCGCTTGATGATGTTATTCCCATCTTTAGCTAGTAAACCTGCAGGTCTGTATTTGATCCAGGTCAGTGTAGGTGAATCCCTCCATGTACACCTGCAATCATCTTCACATAACCACCACATACCACCACATGTACAATACCAAGTTCACTGTTAGTGTTGACCTTTAACACCTGCAGCTAGTCTGGGGACGACATCACAGTCCCGTGTCCCATTCCCAGTCTCCATTCCCACCATTCCCACCATTCAGACCCAGCCCTGGCACCAGAGCGTGCAGCCAGAACTAAGACAACACCTCGTCGGGAAATTGTAAGCCCCTTCTTCTTGTTCACCCACTCACTCTGGAGGGTAAAAAATACACCGAGTCCACAAGTACGAGAGCATTACTTGAAATTTTGGATGCAGGATTGACATAATTCTTGAATCTTGTCTTTGCTATTGAACACACATGATTTTATGTTCTTTACCCTCTCTGTGCAAACTTTTCAATTTGTGTATCTTTTCCAGCTAACGGTCCCGCCCACCTCCTCATCTCTCCGTGCAGGGTGGAGAACACCGTCCCCATATTTAACCCGCATACCCTCCAGGACCCGCGAGTGAACGGCTACATCCAGTGCGCCATGAAGACGGAGAAGGCCATGTTTGAGATGGCCACCAGTCGCGAGGCCTACTACCAGCTACTGCAAAGCTTATATACCGCATCAGGAAGAAGCTGGCGGAGAGGAGGAAGATGAGGATGGAGATGGAGAAACAGCGACAACCTATGGGCGAAGGTTCGTCAACTGTTGGTTCGTTTGCCTCAGCTGTAAACTAAAATGAGGTCATGAATACGCAACGCGGACACCTAACTTCTTCCACATGTAGAAAATATCATGTGATGCCACGAGAAAAAGATGCGGAGCTCTGCACGTAAACACTGCTGCAAAAACAGGAGGCACAGACCGTGCTTGTGAAATTTTGTTTTCCTCCTATACACGCCCCTATATATTGTTGCGCAGTCATGATGTTTGGGCCTCGCGTGCAGCTATTAATCATTTCCTAAGCAAATGAGACGCACTAAAGTGCAAACCCTCGGCGAACTGCGCTTGCGCGATACCGCTAATTGATGGGCGGCCGTCGTATGCGCTTACTTCGTGGTCTGCCCGCTAGTATCACCCGTGAGTCCTGACACACGGCACATGCTCTCTATATGCTCACAATATTCTTATCGTCTGGAGCGAAGCCAGAGTACCTGACACTG